TCTCACACAATGGAGCTGGGAGACCCTGTCAATATTTTCTCCAGTATTCCTGATATAGAATAATTCAATTTTAACTTGTGAAGAGGCACATTCACCCTCAAAACCAAAAACACACTGAGGTAAATGATCTGTGTTTTGAAATACTGTCTTCATATGATTTATTAAGACCAAATAAATCTTGTCTTTCAAAAATTACCAATGACATTAAAGTTAAATACCACATATAAATCATGGTACAATTAGAAAACAACACAAAGGTGAGCAAATTTAAACTTGCAGTGGAAAATTGCTCCTTTCCCATCAGAAGTAAGGGAATTGGGGACCATCAATCTTTACTACAACCCCCGGCTTGTTTCGCTCCCCTTATATTCATTCCCTTGCACGTCACCCCTCAAGTATGACACTGATAAAATGCAGCAGCAAGTCCCAGTCTGTTCTGAAATGCAACATCACCTAGAGAAGCTCCATTTTACAAGGAAGCAAACAGTGGGATATTATTTTCATGCCCAGAAACATCTATGTAAGGAAAACCTAAGTTTGAGAAACGGGAGGTAAACGCTCGAAGGGCACCAGGAACTGGCACCTCCTACGCAAACACTCCATCAAAAACCACCAAAAAGGCTTTTTTTTTCATAGCTGGAGGAACACCTGAGACATCTAGAAATCCCAGTGAGGCACAGAGGTGTTTGCCAAGGCAAGGAACACAACACTGCTTGGTGCTAAAGGAAGAACAGCGGGTTAACGCAGCAATGAACCTTGGAAGCTCCCATACACACAGGTCAGGCAGTGAGAGACTTGCTCTGCCTTCCTTAGCCTGATATAAACTCCAGGATGATCCTGCAGCAGGTTCACACCAGGTGAGATAGTTTGGTATCCATGAACCAACACAGGAGGGACCAAGAGCAAAGAACTGCGGCTCCATGTGACTTCCTCCTCCTTAGGATGCCTTTTTCCAGCATGGCCAAACTCATTAATCCCTCTCCTTCCTCAGTGAATTCTGGCCCTTTCCAAACTTTTTTAAAATACTAAATCAATACCCACTTAACTGCTAGTAAGAGAGCAGAGCTCAAACTCTTTTCTCATTACTGGTGGTAAAAGGTAACAGTCACCAGTTTACCACATTTGTAACATAGAAAAGTTCGTTTTCTTTGGCAGCAAAATCCATTTTTATAACAACTTTTTTTACTTTGGGATTTTATTTTACTTTGGTTTTCTAAAATCTTTCCAACACTTGTCACATGGAGAGACAGGAGGCTCTGTCTGCTTTGAAAACTACTTTAGACAGGGAAAAGCAAGTGTGTGTTACACAGAGCCAGGGGCAAGGCAGCTGGATTCCCAGGCTGTAATTCCAGCTTTGCTGCTGACTCAGTGAGTGACCACAGCATAATCACACCAGTTCCCCTCTCCTCACTCCCCAGAGGATGAGCCACAGTCAGCTCTCTCAAAAGACACAAGAGGCACGTGGAGCTGGGCCTCACATTTAGGTTTAATGGGATTCAGCACACCTGAATTTTGCTAAAATTTACACACTTAAACTGCTCAACTCCTCTGTTAGTACCTGGCTTTTAATAGGTACATTTGGGTATCCACACAACTATTCAGATGGTTGGGCGGGTTTTTCGTTTAAATACATGTGTTTGCATCCACGTTGCAAGGAAAGATTCCTGCCATGAAAGGGAAAATTTCCCCTTGGATGCAAGGTGAGCAGAGCTGCCTCTTCTCAACCAGTTTTTAAAACCAACCGAGTCAACCTCAAAACGAACGAAGGAAAAGGTCTTCAGCGTGCAGGTCCCTTTCCCCAAGTTTTGGGTGTGGAATAATTCTGCTCATCTTTAAAGAACTACTAAGGAGGGTAAAAAGAGATCATCTGAGTAAGATTGCTGCCGGTGCCGGGCCTGTTCCCAGCCCTGCCGGTGGCCAGGGAGCTGTTCCGGCCCGGAGCTACGTCAGGCAGCAGACGTGATGACATTTAGGAACATTCTGGTCCTCCCCAAGCAGCACAGAAGCTGCAGCCACCGTTTGTGGTGTTGCTGCCAAGACAGGTGATGATCACGCTGCAAAACATCACGAAGCAAAACACTCAGGAGAAGAGGCAGAGCCACGAAGGGCCCACACCCTGCAGCGTTCCCGGGAGCTCAGAGAAAGCACGGGATGGTAGCAATAGATGCCAAACATCCTGGCAGAGCGGAAAAGATAAAGCCATGGCCTTTCATTATCCTCTTTTGCATAATCAGGATGTTCCAGGGACAGGGAACAAGTTTCCATCCCAAGGCCAAAGGAGCGCTCCTAGGGGTAACATGGCGTGTATCCAACTGAGGGTTTGGAAAGACAGCCCACCACACCTGACATATTCCCGCTCTCACCATCCTTCTTCAAACAAAATGGATCTCCACTGCACTGAAAATCCACTCACTGCAATGCAAGGGCTTTCAAATAAGTCACAAAAGCTGGGACCATATTCCCCCTATTGCAGAAAGAGCTGAAGTGCTGAGAACAACCAAAAAAAATATCCATTTGCATTTTGCCCCTCACGGACCCACACCCATAATTTGTTCCCAGCCTCCGTTTTCCAAGGAAGCCAACAAAAGCTGGGAGGGCTCTGCACCTACTAGGAGATAATTCCATTTCACAGTAGAACAATGTACTGTTTTTAAGGAACTTAAGTGACATATTTATAAATATATATATCAGTGGTATAAACCTCACTTAAACTGCCGACTAAATAAAAACATTCTATTACATATACAACATCTACTGTGTATTTGGGTTATTCTGCGTACATGACGGGCGTGTACACACATCCATGCACCTGATCTGCTGGGCTAGGCACAGCAGCAGCACGTATGCACAGAGACACAAACTCATCCCTGTGCCGCTGTGCGTCTCCTGCAGCAGGAGCAAGAGGGAAAAGCCCAGCCTGACCCACCCCCAACCACGGGGAGGCAAGTTTAGGGTGCAGCCAGGCACTTGTTTATGTAACAGCGAGGTACAGCCGCAGTAGAAGGGAGCCAGGAGCAGGGGTTGAATATTAAAAAGGGAGAAACGTGCCCAACGCCGAGGTGTTCTCCATGTTTTCTGAGCAACGACCGCTGGAGATCCCTGGATCTGAAAATCTGATTAGGAGCCTGCATCACCACACATGATCACTAACATGGATGCGGCCTGAGCCTGCCTGCTTGCAGCTCTCTGGGAAAAGAGAGAGCAGAAGGAGCAGTATTAATTCTGCCCAGCTTTAATTAAAGCAGTCAAAAAGGTATCTGAATCAAACACGTTGCCGAAATAGGATTTGTGAAAAAAAATCAGGAAAAACAACGCACGCCCCGATGAAGTAACTGAGGGGGGTGCTGGGCAAACACGGAAAAAGCCCTTCCAGCAAGGACACCCACACATGAAACACATCTTTTCAAAAAAAAAAAAAGGTTGTTTTGCAGAGGATTCCACAATCAAAAATGTAATCACAAAAACTACCTTATGCTGCAGTGTCCCATTTAAGGGATTAGGAGAGTAATCACAATCTGCCCCAAGCAGCTCTGCCCAGCATCCAGGCACTGCATACATTGGAAATGACATTCCTGTTTTGATGAAGAGAATTGGGATGTGACTTAATGAACTCTGCAAAGTGAGCCTTTGGAAAGTCACGGAGATCACACCCAAAGGTCCCAAAGGCATCAAAAACAACCTCAGTCATTTTACTGAAGCCCTGCAGTTCAGAATATGAAAATCCACAAGACTGAATGTAAAATCAATTCAAAATTTCCAGCCAAGGGAGCAGATGGCTTCTGAATCCTAGAGATCTGCCAAAAGGATCTGTAAATTCAAATGTTACATGGCTGGATTCTGTGTTTTTCTTTTCACAGAGATCTGTGATTGCATGCAACACAGTAGAAAGGGGGGAAAACAAAAAAAAGGGCAGATTATATCTTCTGATATTATTCCTTCTGAGAAATTTATAAAGAATGGATACAAACATGGTGTCAGGGAAGGAGTTAATGCATGTGACAAGCTAGAGATTCCAGAGATGGGAGGAAAGAAACAGCAATGAGGAGGCATTAACACAGGCACTCCCAATGTAACACAGTCCTAAAGCTAAGCTTCACAGAACCTTCAGGTTTTAATATTTTCTCCACTATTTCATATTTTTTGCATCCTTGGAAATTATATATATCTGGCAAACAAATCGCCTCTATTGATTTTTTTGTTCTTTATTTTTTTACCCTGTGGCAACGGGAGTTGTCAGTCCCCATTCTTAACACAGAAGGAAAACAACAGTTAATTAGGAATCAGGAGAAATCTCCCCAAAATCCGAACCACCTAAGCAGAGATGCCTTAAGAGAATCAGAGACTGCCAACCCGACAGATTGCAGACCTGTGTGCCAGGCCCTACCCCGACAATGCACCTGCAGTGTGCAGAGTAAATACACTGAATCACCAGCCCAGAATCCCCCAGTGACACCCAAAAACTGCATCACGGCTCAGCTGAGGCGCCCAGCACCCTGAGACAGGTCCTACACACAGCCCTGAGCGCTGCTGGGGACGTGGGAAGGGGAACTAAATGTGGGAAATAGGGGGAAATGCTGTCGGGAAGTAGAGAAATGCACCTTCACGCTGCAGAACACAAGCACAGCCACCTCCCTCCCCTGACAACTCCTTCAGATCAGCTGGAGGCCTGGAACACCTGGCTGGGAAGGATGGCAGGCAGCTCCAGCTCTTCGGGGGATGCAGGGAAGGCGGCAATGCTGGCGTGCCATCTCTCTGGGCAGGATTCCTGGGTGGCTCTGGGCTGCCATGGCTGGCAGCACTTTAATCTCACTGCAGATGGGCTGAGTCCACAGCGGGGGCTCCAAAGGGATGGGAAGGGATGCAAAAGGGAAACGTGATGGGAAAGGTTCGGAAAATGAAGGGCAGAGCACTACACATGGCAACGAACACCTGCGAAGTGCTGCAGAGAGGGAGGAAGGGCGGGGGAGAAAAGGAGAAGGGAGCTGGATTCCCCCTCGTACCTTGCGCTTCCGATCAGCCCTAGAGATTTTCCGCTGCCTTTTCCTTTCCTTCTCAAGGTTTCTCTCCCTCTCCTCGAGTTCAGACTCTCGAACTTTTTTAATGGAAGCGGCTGCGTGAGCCATTTTGGCGAGGCAAAGCCCAGCTCCGAGGAAGCCGTTCCCACCACACGCAGATATCCAGGTGATTTATTTTTTTTTTTTCCCCCGCAAGGGCACTGGCTGCGAGCCAGAACTTCACGTCGTAATCCACTCTTGCTCCTCCGGCACCCCAGGAAAGGTCACGGCTCCGCTCCAGCCTCTGCAGCACCCATGGCTCGGGAGCAAGGGAGCCACGACGTGCCAAAGTGCCCGCAGCCACAAACACACACGGCCAGGGAGCAGCTGGAATAACCTCCTAGCAGCCTGAAAGCCCTTCGGCGTGGCTGCGGCTGCAGGAGAAGGCGGGCTTCAGGCTCAGCCGGGGAGGATGGATTAGGGGAAAAGAAAAAAAAAAAAAAAAAGGAAAAGGAAACGAAAAAACCGGCCTTTAAACACACATCAGCGAAGTGGGAAGGTCTTTCGGGATTCCACCGGAGAGAGGCTGCGTCTTCTGGCTGGGAGGAAGGCTCCGCTTCAGCATCACCGGCAGCTGGGGGAGGGGGCAGCTCCCGTCAGCTTCTCACATCGCCTTTACGCAGGGTGAGAAGAAAATGGTGCAGTCTGACTTAGGGACTCGATGCACGAGCCGCCGGCCAGCCTGTGCCGGAGCCTCGGCGAAGGAGCCTGCGCTCCTCACGATCTCCCCTGGCCGCCGAGCCGGTGGATGGAAGGCGAGAGGATGCTGGCGGCGGGCTGGGAGAGGCCAGGCTCGGGCTGCTCACCTGCAGGCAGCGCGGAGAGCCGCCGGGGAAGGGCTGGCGGAGCTCAAGCAAGCGCTCCTTGTGCCTCCCCGCAGCCACGTGAGGCCGCATCAGGAGAGCTGCATTCAGCGGCGAGGAGGGGGAAGCACCGCCGTCATCCGGGCTCGGCCTGCCCCGCTCCGCTCAGCTCCACCGAGGGCAAGAGAACACCACCGAGGGCGCTGCTCGTTATTATTCCACCCAAAAAGCCGCGCTGAGGATGGAGAACAGCTACAGCCGTGGACCAACAAAGACAGCAACAACATGTTGTTACTTAGTCTCCTCCCCCTCCCAAATAACATTTGGGTTTGGGACACTGATTTCTGGCGTTAATAGCAGAGACAGACGGGTCCGTGTTATTCCCTCACTGCTTATCCCCCTGCTGAAGCAGCACATCAAAGTTCTGCTCCCTCCTCCCAGGGTGTTATCACTATTAGCATCAAGCATTTATTCACCAAAATAGGATGTGGGTAGATAAAAAGAGCCTTTGCATTAGTCACTGGCAGACAGCTGATCACACTCCAGCTCCCTCCAACACCACTGCTCCGGCCTCTTCCAGGCAGGTCCTGAGGGAGAGAGGTGGGCTGCCACACTCAGCTGTTTGCATCCCCGGCTTGGCCACCCCAGAGACACGGGGACATGGAAGCTCACTGACAGCAGCACCAAAACCCACCAAAGACACAACTCCCTTAGCCAGGTTTCCCTCTGCACCCTTGACTTCAGGCTGAACTTTACTGAAGGCCCCTAAAGGAGGGCACCATGGATTTCTCTGTAACACAGCACCTCCACACCAGTGACACACGTCCTGTCAGCCCTTCATGTGACAGCAGCTCATGGAGCAGCCCCAATCCCCACCTCACGTTACTGGGGTACCCACAGAACTTGGTTTCAGTTCACATGGACCAGGACCATTTATCATCACCATGGAACTAATCCTCATTGATGACTTCTGTTGGTACTACAAGGTTTCACTTTGACAATCTCACAGACCACATTTTCACAAGGGTATATCTGTGGAAACTACCAAGCACTATAAAAGCATCTTTAAAACAGGGATCTATTTTGTGTTTGTGCCAGTGACCTGTGCATTGTGCACTGAATCAAAAATACATTTCTCTACTCGAAGGAGGCATGGGAAGAAGCAGGGCAGGGAGTGCCTGCCAAGCTTTTTCTGGCTCCTCTGTACGTCCAGGCTGGTTTTCTCCCAGTTGTTCCCATTTGTGAGAAACTGGGCTACACAGAGCTAATGGCTGAAACACAAGCAGGAGCTGCAGCACAGCCACCAGCAAAGTGAGACAGGTGGAGGCAGCTACAGGGATAAAATAAAGAGGAAAACTGGAATCTTTAAAGAACTGTGGCATGCCTTGTCCTCTTCATGTTGTATGATCCTCACTTGCAAACCAGAAATGAACAGCTGGTAGTCTACAACTCGACCTTCCTGATACCTTCCCAACCTTTTTGTGGGATCTTAAATAGGAAATGTGGAAATAAGACCAACTTCCAGGTCACCACACTTAAAAATCCTTGCCTTGGGATTTCCCTAAATTACAGTTCAAGGCATCCTTCAGCCACTAAATGCTTAAATCCTGATAACAAGATGCACATAGTAAGGTTTGATACACAGGAGGGCTGAGAGTAGTCATGATTATTAAACAATTTTACCTTCTGATGACTGATATGTGCAGGTTCATCAGCTCAGTATGAAATAGTTACTCTTTCAGAAAACTCACTTAGAAGTTAAAAAAGGACTTGATGCTCTTTATAACCCAGGTTACACCAGAGAAAAACATCAGACACTGGAATTGAACAACTGGTGCCAAGTAAGACAAAATGAAATAGCAAATATTCTTTATAAGATTATTGGTAAAGAAGAACGTCAGGTCAGCTCTGTGAGTTCACTATTACGTCCCATAAACGTTTTCTCCCTAACCTCAAAGAGACATAAAAATATTTCACCACTGTGTGGTGAAAATAAGTGACTTTCAATAGGTTATTTTGGAAAGAACGTCTCCAGTCTGGAGACAAGAACATGAAGTGTGTATCAATGTTTGCCATAGCTTATGTCCCTGCAGGAAAGGAGTGTTCTGTTCTAAGACAGATTTTCCTAAAAAAAGTAGAAGAGGGCTTGTCATCGCATTGCGCATTTAGATCTTAACAAAGAGAAATCCTTCTGCACGTATCAGTCTGAAAATTACATTTTCAAGCAAAAATGGAGCCTGAGCAATCTCCCCCTAAACATAGAAAATGCATTGTGGAGCTGGTACCTCAGAAAAGCAGAATATCCAGCGATGCTGCCACAAACGGCGTGTGGGAGGGGAGTGGGAGAGTGGGCAGATGCACAATAACACAAGAAGAACACAGATCCAGAAAAAGGGTGGGTTTTCTCTGAAAAGCATGTGTCATCACTAGCTCTGAATGTAGAAATAGAGAACTCGTGAGATCCAACAAATTCCCCACTTGGGATAATGAAGCTTGTAAGACTCCAGCCTCCAGGTTTTGCTCTCCAACCTGCCCCAGCAGCTGAGACAATGAACTCCTGCACTGCAGTGCTGCAAGAGCCACAGCTCTCATCAGCACTGGGCTTTTTACCTGCCAGCTTTCAGGTGGACAGGCATGATCTGCTGAGCAAATCAGCATTTTCAGTCTGTAAAAACCCAGTGGATGAGAACTAATAGTAACTGAGTACAAGAGGAGAGGATGTAAACAAGTGATTATCTCCCCTGAAGCACATCCACTAACAGGGGTCCATCTCACAGAGATGAGCCCCTCTCTGCATCAATCATGTGGGCAGTGCAAAAACAAAGTTAAAACCAAGCCTAGAAGCCACACCAAGAAAATGCGACTCAAATCTCTTCCCAAAGGTACAAAAAAAAAAAAAAAAAAAAAAAGGAGGTGGAAAAAGCCTCTCATGCTTTGAAGCCAGAAGGGAGACTGTTCTTTCCAGTTCTAAGATCTAGTACATTCAGGAAACAGCCCGGAAATCCAGAGTGATTTCAAACAGATCAAAAGGAGAAAGAGCTGTCTCAGGCAATAGTTTTTCCCTGGGGAACTCAACTTTTTGCCAGGTGTTGTAGAAAACCCTTCTGGACAAGGCAGATGACAATTCTGTGAGTTGGGCTCCTCCAAAGTGATGCACAGCCATACTTGTACGTGACACCCAACAGGTACATCCACCAGGTAGTTCACAAATATACAACCACCACCTCTGTCCCTACAAACTGTGCACTGGTTTAAAATTTACCTCCTTGCTGGGAGGGCAACAATGTACTTATTTCAACTATTTAAAATTGTTCAGTTGGATTGTGCATATTAGCATATTCAGCCATTTCAGTATCTACAGAATTGCACGTTCCTAGAAAAGCAGCAAAATAATCCTTTCAGAAAGTAAAAGCACAACAATGGAAGCATAGGTTACAGTTACAAATTGCCTCCTGTCTCACTCATTGTTTAATCCATACTCTTATTTATTAGTCACACACAGTAGCAATTGTCCTAATTCTAGAGGTACAATAACCCTGGAACTGAGTTACCAATCACACACCCAATACTGGGTAGCTTTCATTTTATATTTTCCAAGAGAAAAAGTATCAAGTTTTAAAAAATGAAAAGCTCTACACTCCCTTCATTCTCATGTTACCACGTGGAGACAACATGTTCCTGAAAGTTCCAAGCTGGAAATCAGTGTCATTGAACTGGTACCAAAAAGATGACACATAAAACCGTGTTCTGGCTTTTTTCTGTACCTTGACTATATCTGTTTTACTAACTGAAAAGCAGCAGTACAAAACAAGAAATGAAAAAGGGCAAGTTGAGGTACAAATAGACCTAAATCAGACCAGTCTTAACATCTTTTCTGTTACACCACCTGGATATAAGTCACAGCACTGACACTTTGGTGGTCAGCACTAAAAACATACTTCAGATGCAGTAATACTTGCAATCCCACACCCTCCCTTGCACAGCAGGTTTCTGTCTCAAACATACTCAGTTCAACACTGACTAACTTTAAATGCAATTAATAATTACTCAGAGGGAAAAAAAAAAGATACTGCTTAGCTACCTTCATCTTGGGAGAGTTACTGAAAATATTATTCTGCTCTTATAAAATTAATTTTTCCATATTATGGGTGAAGAAAAAGACATAATACGTTCCTAGGAACATAAGAACAATCACTGTGGGATGAGACCAAAGTCTTCTGGTTTCAGCAGTGGCCAAAAATCAGATATTTAGCAAAGTGTAGAAAAGGACAAACATGGCTGATAATTTCGAGTATTCTCCCAGCTTCTGGTCACTTCAGACTGCTGGGCACCTGTGCCAGGCATTTCCCTTTACACAGCCATCCTTTCTGAACACCAAGAACAGGGTGTAGAAAGGCCCTTCAGACACCGATGCCTTTGGTTCAAAGAAATATCCCAATTAGGAGGTTAAGACATCCAAGCTGGCAATTCAAGAAGCGTATTTGTTTCATCAGAACCCTAAATAAACTAGAGATAGGTTATTTCTGGCAAGAGTGCCCATCCTGTGGTTTTTCCAAAGCCTGCTTAAGTTGCA